GCAAATGTATCTGTCCTCCCCTGATTTCTCACCATCCCTCTTGACTCGTGTTTCTGACTGCCTCTCTGCTATTTCCAACTGGATGGCTGCTCATTTCCTTAAACTGAACCTGTCCAAAACAGAAAGTCTGGTCTTCCCTCCTTCAAGTGTTGCTACTCCCTTGTTTGTGTCCCTCCAAGTCAATGGTGCTACCATACGCTCTAGCTCTAAGGCTTGCTGCCTAGCTGTTCTCACCCCTCATGTTCAATCAATCGCCAAATCCTGCCACTTCCATCTAAAAATTATTGTGCGCATCCAACCCTATTTAACGCCAGATATGGCAAAGGTGCTTGTCCATGCCGCTGTCCTCTCTCGCCTTGACTACTGTAATCCGCTTCTCAGTGGTCTTACGTGTTCCCAACTTGCACCGTTAAGTCTATAATGAATGTGTCAGCAAGTCTCATCCGCCCGCACCTTCCACGCCTCCCCCTTTGTCAGTCCCTTCATTGGCTTCTCGTAAGATATAGGACTTTAAGATCCTGATACTTGCTCTACAAAATGCTGCTCCGACCTACCTATCCTCACTAATACACAAATATGTCCCATCTAGGCCGCTACTCTCTGCCGGAGACCTACGTCTAACCTCTGTTCGTACTCCTACCTCTGATGCTCACCTTCAAGACTTCTCTAGGGTTGCACCGTTCCTGTGGAACGCCCTCTCTGTTAGACTTTCACTCCTTCAAAAAACTTTGAAAACTTACTTCTTTAGGAAAGCATATCAATTAAACTGTGAACAGCTTTCCCTCCCCGCACCCTGATTCCTCTCCTGAAACTGTCATCAAAACAAAACACTAAGCCCTCAATGAACACTATCCTAGCAACCTACTTTTCTACTCTACCCTTACCTTTTGTTTCACATTACCCCACTCCCTCATTGAGCAAGGCCCTCAATCCCTCTGTTCCTGTGTGTAAAACTCATCTGATTACATATATTTGTCTGTTAGTCCACCCATTGTACAGCGCTATGGAACTTGTTATGAAAAATAATAATAATGATACAAAAAAAAACATAACTTATTAAAACTGCTATGTTAAAATATCCATGGGTTGATATAAAACACTCTAGGCACCATAAGCAGTTAATTTCACTTCGAATGAGGGTCTCTGGCCACTCTCTACGGCTTGGACCTTTACAAATAATGCGGCCCCTAATCCATAGACCATAAGCACTTCCTGTGTCCCTTCCATCAGCCAGGAGTTACTAAAATAAGGTCACTGATAGTTTAGAATAGAAAATAATATACACACAGTATATATATACTGTGTGTGTGTGTGTATATATATATTCACACACACACACACACACACACAGTATATAGAGAAAACCTGTATGAGGGGGAGGGCACGTTATTTGTTTATTTAAAAAAAAAAAAAAATTTTTTTTTGCACTCCTAAGAATATTGTGCTGGGTAGCCACCTATGGCCACACCCATGCTACTGCGCCTGAGCCATACCCTTCTGTAGATGCGGAGCAACAAGCACCTAAATTATCTCATTCATTGTCAAACCAAATGAAAACAGTTTAACACTAAACAGTGAATGGCGCCAATATACTCTAGACACCATAATCACTTTATAGTTACATTGGCTGAAAAGAGACATGCATCCATCAAGTTCAGCCTCTGTTTTTGTCATTTACCCAAAAGAAGGCAAAATACACAGTTTGAAGTGCTTTCCAATTTTACAACAAACCAGGAAAAAATTCCTTCTTCATCGTAGAATGGCAGTCTCTACTTCGATCATGAAGCTAGTACCCTATAAATTAAAAATGATATCCCTAACCATTATGTTTTTGCAAGTATTCATCCATTTGCTGTTTTAAGATATACAGACTCTGATAAAACCACATCTTCAGGCAGAGATTGCCATATCCTTATTGTTATCACTGTAAAAACCATGTCCTTTGCCTTAGACTAAATCTCCTTTCTTCCAGTCTAAATGCGTGACCTCGTGTCCTATGTATAGTCCTTTTTGTGAATAGATTTCCAGACAATGGTTTATATTGGCCCCGGATATATTTGTATAATGTTATCATATCCCCTCTGAGGTGCCGTTTTTCTAAACTAAACAGATTTAAATTAGTTAACTAAGAAGTTCCATTATTTCTATTTATTTTTGTAATCCACCTCTGCACCTTTTCTAGTGCCATGATATCCTTCTTTAGAACAGGTGCCCAAAATTGCACAGCATATTCAAGGTGTGGTCTTACCAGTGATTCATAAACAGGCAAAATTATATTTTCATCCCAAGAATTAATGCCCCTTTTCATACATCACAATACTTTACTGGCTTTAGCAACGGATGATAGATTTTGCATATTGTTTCCCAGTTTGTTGTCTATAACAATTCCCAAATCCTTCTCGTGTGTTGCTATCTGTAATTCAAGAACTGACTGTTCACTTGCTGCCCAAATAGCCCACCCCTGGACAGGTGTTATTGTAACGATATAATCAATGTTATTCACATCACCTGTCAGTGGCTTTAATGTTGTGGGTGATCAGTGTATAGCTTGCAGCTTACCTGTCCTCACATGGAACATGACCATAGGAAAGTATAACCAAGGAAGGTGTCCCTATGTCAACAAGTGAAAAAGTAATTAAAATTTCATTAGTAATGAACAAACATTCCTGATTTCCATATACACAGCGTTCCTGTAGGGTTACCATATCCACCAGGTTTTTATCCAATGTACAATGTAAAGGCAACCCTTTTCATGCATTTTCATAAATTTACTAAATTGTATTTCCCTGAAAACATGGTGGATCTGGTAGCCCTACACATAGATGATACCCAAAAAAAGTTAATCACTTTGATTAACCCCTTAAAGACGGTGGGCGTTCTATGCCATCCTTTTTGGGGCGGTCCTAAACGCTGGCGGGTGGCATAGAACGTCCCCGCCGTCCTTTGTACTTACTGGGTCCCCCCCGTTCCCCCAACGGCGGACGCGATCCTGAGGTCTGCCTGGGAGCTCAGGCAGACCCCCTCTGCCTGATCCGCCCCCTTGCAACCATGTGATCATGGGGTCCTCACAGTCACATGGCCGGAATAGCCGGCTTATGTAGTGCCTGACGGGGGCCTGCCTTAGCTCTCAGGCAGTTCCCCTAATGTCTGCAAAAATGTTTTAGAAAGTTATTAAAAGTTAATAAAAACAATTACGTGTCTGTTAGTCCACCCATTGTACAGCGTTACAGAATTTTGCTGGCGCTATACTATATAAATAATAAAATATTAATAACAACTGAATCTAAATGAAGTTTTTATGGAGCCAGGTGACCCAGGGTGCACGCTCACCTTAACAACAAGATTGCCTCCAGCACCGATTTCTACTCCCACCCAGGCTGCTTCTGGCTATTGAATATTCAGATTCAAGAAGCGCAGAGTGTCACGGAGCAAGTGTGCCACCGATTGGCTAAGAGCAGCCAGCTAATGCTCTCTGACAATTAGTGACTGCCCATTCAAAAACTGGCCTGGATAGAAATGTACCTTTTCCAAGCAAGTTTAGTGAATGGGGAGTCACTGACTGGCTGAGAGCATCAGCTGTCAACTCTCAGCCAATCGGCAACGCCTATGCCCGGCGGCACTTCGTGCGTCCTGAATCTGAAAATTCAATATCCGGAAGCTGCCTCAAGGGGAGGGGAGATCAGAGCTGGAGGCAACTTTGGGATAAAACCGTTCGAAAATGGTTTAACCCCTTGAGGTAAGAATGCTCATGGCACCATAACAACTGAATTTAGGTGATGCTGTTTTGGTGCCTGGAGTGTCCCTTTAATTGATATTAAACCATATTCATGAATTCTGTTTATTAATCACTGTCCCTTTCATTGATGTTAAACCGTATCCATGAATTGTGTTTATTGGTCACCGTCCCTTTAATTGATGTTAAACCGTATCCATGAATTGTGTTTATTGGTCACTGTCCCTTTCATTGATGTTAAACCGTATCCATGAATTGTGTTTATTGGTCACCGTCCCTTTAACTGATATTAAACCGTATCCATGAATTGTGTTTATTGGTCACCGTCCCTTTAATTGATGTTAAACCGTATCCATGAATTGTGTTTATTGGTCACCGTCCCTTTAATTGATGTTAAACCGTATCCATGAATCGTGTTTATTGGTCACTGTCCCTTTAATTGATGTTAAACCGTATCCATGAATTGTGTTTATTGGTCACCGTCCCTTTAATTGATGTTAAACCGTATCCATGAATTGTTTTTATTGGTCACTGTCCCTTTCATTGATATTAAACCGTATCCATGAATTGTGTTTATTGGTCACCGTCCCTTTAATTGATGTTAAACCGTATCCATGAATTGTGTTTATTGGTCACCGTCCCTTTAACTGATGTTAAACCGTATCCATGAATTGTGTTTATTGGTCACTGTCCCTTTAATTGATGTTAAACCGTATCCATGAATTGTGTTTATTGGTCACTGTCCCTTTAATGATCTAAAACCGTACCATGAATTGTGTTTATTGGTCACCGTCCCTTTAATGATGTTAAACCGTATCCATGAATTGTGTTTATTGGTCACCGTCCCTTTAACTGATGTTAAACCGTATCCATGAATTGTGTTTATTGGTCACCGTCCCTTTAATTGATGTTAAACCGTATCCATGAATTGTGTTTATTGGTCACCGTCCCTTTAATTGATGTTAAACCGTATCCATGAATCGTGTTTATTGGTCACCGTCCCTTTAATTGATGTTAAACCGTATCCATGAATCGTGTTTATTGGTCACTGTCCCTTTAACTGATGTTAAACCGTATCCATGAATTGTGTTTATTGGTCACTGTCCCTTTCATTGATGTTAAACCGTATCCATGAATCGTGTTTATTGGTCACTGTCCCTTTAACTGATGTTAAACCGTATCCATGAATCGTGTTTATTGGTCAATGTCCCTTTAATTGATGTTACACCGTATCCATGAATTGTGTTTATTGGTCACTGTCCCTTTCATTGATGTTAAACCGTATCCATGAATTGTGTTTATTGGTCACTGTCCCTTTAAGGGCCTGAGCAGTTCTGTTTTGACGTGCTACGTACAAACAATATGCAAAAATCAACAAAACACCTTCATTGGATGTCAATACAGCTGCCATATCATCACCATGACAACAGCAGGTGCCAATCACTTCCGGTATGAGTCCTTCGAAGAACAGACGGCAGAGAGTGACGTCACCACCCTTTAGCACACGCCAGCGCTACGCTCCTGCCGCTGACAGTCTGGTACAACCCTCCTCTCTATGGTTCCAGAAGCGGCTGCCTAACAGCATTGCCTAGCCGTGCCTACACTCTATGATTCCAGGTTCTGTCTGGGATAGTCCTCCCACTCTATGGTTAGCGCTCTCTTCCTGAAGGTGTGCCAAGATGGCGGAGGCAGAGTGAGTGTGAAGTCCTCCCTGGGAGATCGCGGTGTTAGTAAATATGGCTCGTGTCTTACTGCAGAGGAGGGCAGATGGGGGAGGGGGTGATTGGTGTCTTATTGAGGTGTCAGCTGTTATTTGGGATCTGGTCACATGACCCCATGTCCCATCTGTCATGTGACCTGTAAGGGGGGGGGTCACTGCCTGCCTGCTGGGGACTACATTCCCACAATCCTCAGCCAGCATCTGCAGTGTCCTAATCACACCTCCCAAGGGTCTCTATTTAAAGGGAGAGTCCCTATTTAGGACCCAAAGCCCGCTGCCCATCAGCAATAATACTCCCAGTAATGTGTCTGAGTGTATAACAGAGCTCCACAGCAATAACACTCCCAGTAATGTGTCTGAGTGTATAACAGAGCTCCTAGCAATAATACTCTGAGTAATGTGTCAGAGTGTATAACAGAGCTCCACGGCAATAATACTCCCAGTAATGTGTCTGAGTGTATAACAGAGCACCACAGCAATAGCCACATCCAGTAATGTGTCTGAGAGTGTATAACAGAGCTCCACAGCAATAATACTCCCAATGTGTCTGAGTGTATAACAGAGCTCCACACAGTAATAATACTCCCAGTAATGTGTCTGAGTGAATAACAGAGCTCCACACAGCAATAATACTCCCAGTAATGTATCTGAGTGTATAACAGAGCTCCACACAGCAATAATACTCCCAGTAATGTGTCTGAGTGTATAACAGAGCTCCACAGCAATAATACTCCCAGTAATGTGTCTGAGTGTATAACAGAGCTCCACGGCAATAATACTCCCAGTAATGTGTCTGCGTGTATAACAGAGCTCCACAGCAATAATACTCCAGTAATGTGTCTGAGTGTATAACAGAGCTCCACAGCAATAATATTCCCAGTAATGTGTCTGAGTGTATAACAGAGCTCCACAGCAATAATACTCCCAGTAATGTGTCTGAGTGTATAACAGAGCTCCACAGCAATAATACTCCCAGTAATGTGTCTGAGTGTATAACAGAGCTCCACAGCAATGATACTGACAGTAATGTGTCTTAGTGTATAACAGAGCTCCACGGCAGTAATACTCCCAGTAATGTGTCTGAGTGGATCACAGAGCCACACAGCAATAATACTCCCAGTAATGTGTCTGAGTGGATCACAGAGCTCTACAGCAATAATACTCCCAGCAATGTGTCTGAGTGGATCACAGAGCTCCACAGCAATAATACTCCCAGTAATGTGTCTGAGTGTATAACAGAGCCCCACAGCAATAATACTCCCAGTAATGTGTCTGAGTGGATCACAGAGCTCCACAGCAATAATACTCCCAGTAATGTGTCTAAATGTATCACAGAGCTCCACAGCAATAATACTCCCAGTAATGTGACTGAGTGGATCACAGAGCTCCACAGCAATAATACTCCCAGTAATGTGTCTGAGTGTATCACAGAGCTCCACAGCGATAATACTCCCAGTAATGTGTCTGAGTGTATAACAAAGCTCCACAGCGATAATACTCCCAGTAATGTGTCTGAGTGTATCACAGAGCTCCACAGCGATAATACTCCCCGTAATGTGTCTGAGTGTATAACAGAGCTCCAAGGCAATAATACTCCCAGTAATGTGTCTGAGTGTATAACAGAGCTCCACAGTAATAATACTCCCAGTAATGTGTCTGAGTGTATAACAGAGTTCCACAGTAATAATACTCCCAGTAATGTGTCTGAGTGTATAACAGAGCTCCACAGTAATAATACTCCCAGTAATGTGTCTGAGCGTATAACAGAACTCCACAGCAATAATACTCCCAGTAATGTCTGAGTGTGTAACAGAGCTGCACAGCAATAATACTCCCTGCACGCACTGGAGTGTATGTTTCAGAGCCCCACAGCAATAATACTCCCAGTAATGTGTCTGAGTGTATAACAGAGCCTACAGTAATAACACTCCCATGTAGCAATGTCTGTGTGTAACAGAACCCACAGCAATAATACCCCATAATGTGTCTTGAGTGTGTAACAGAACTCCACAGCAATGTTCACTCCCAGTAATGTGCCCTATGCACAGGAGTCTACAGCACAATAATTCCCAGTAATGTGTCTGAGCGTGTACCAGAGTCTACAGCAATAATAATTCTGTGTAATGTGTCTGGAGTGTATAACAGAGCTCCACAGCAATAATACTCCCAGTAATGTGTCTGAGTGTATAACAGAGCTCCACAACAATAATACTCCCAGTAATGTGTCTGAGTGTATAACAGAGCTCCATAGCAATAATACTCCCAGTAATGTGTCTGAGTGTATAACAGAGCTCCACAGCAATAATACTCCCAGTAATGTGTCTTTAAACTGCAATAAATGTGTTTAGAAATCAGCCTGTGTAAATAACATACATTGTTCTTGTTCTAAATTACATTTTAGCCATGACCCCACCGCAGGCCCCAATCGCACCTCTATATTTAAAGTGTCTCTCTTTGTCTCTTGAAATGTTGGGAGTTTTGGATAAAGTGCTCACACCGCAGGGTTGCATCACTGGTTTTAGTGTTTCATTGACTAAATTCATCTATAAAATTCAATCTGAATTCTCACTTTCTTAAATAACCCAGTTTATGTAAAATTGTCTCCGGTTCTATCCAATCCCCAGCTGATTATACAACAGGAACAAAAAAACACAACCCAAATTTATTTATTTTATTGTCTTTGTGAGATAAATGTGGGACAAAGTTTAGGGTTTTTATTTTGATTTATTTATTTTTTTTACTAGGGAAAGAAAACATATTTGCTGGTGTTTAGGGTTAATTAAGATCATTTTAGATCAAATCCAACATGGGTTGTTTCAGAATTTTTATCTTGTTCCATATCGAGGTTCGAAAGTTTTTAAAAATTTCCTCTGAAAGTTTTCCTTTTTATTTATAAAATTCTTACATGAGTTATTTTCTCAGAACTGGCAACGCTGGCCAATGAATATCCTTGCCAATCCTTCACTTTAGAATCCTTTCATTTAGAGTACAGTAGACTTGTGCACAAATCCTTTTAAAGCTGTGTCGAACGAATCCAATTCCTGTTCATTTACGCCCGAACAAACCGATCTGTCCTTGTACTCCGGAAAATCCCAGATGGATCAATTCGTTTTTGTTGTAGATCAACAGGAATTTGATTAGTTTGCACCTGAACAGGATCTGTGCACAAGTCTATATGAAAGTGGGTCATTAAAAGTAAAATGTATTGGCAATTTAGAAAACAAACAATGTATTACAAAACCATCTCTCCAGCTTATTAATCATTTCATTATCTGGTTCTTACAAAGTCAGGGAATGCACAAGAAATAGTATTAAAGCCACAAAGATCAAAGGGTCATGAATTTTTCTAAAGAATTTGCCGTTACAGCATGATCAATTCCCCCAAACGTCAAAAGAAAATAACGTAATGAAATCACTTTAAATGTCAAAATACTGGGCAAACGAGAGCCATATGAGATCTGTCGGAAGATGGAACAGATGCTGCAAAACAAATATGGAGTGAAAAATTCTTAATGAAACATAAGCATTGAACTTCGTTCAAACCTGTAATGTGTATTCACAAAGAAATCTTCAAAACGTATTTTAACACTCATAGGGAGGGCTATCTGTGTCCAATTCACCCACAGTTCAAATTGTGTTCTCTGATCATTAAAAGGCGTTAAATGGAATGTAACTATGTTTACGTGAACATATAGCATGGTGCTTTTAAAATGTTTTATAAGCCTTTAAATTTCATTTCACACTTTCTCCTTCTTGTAAAATTTCCTTCACCAGAAGCCAAGACAGAAAATACAGAATTGGGAGCACCTAACCCAGAGGGTGCAACCAATCCAATTTTGTCAAAACCCGATGCCATTAACCTACATTTGGGTTGACTTATGCTCTAGATTAGAATCAGAATTTGTTAATAAGTCTGTCGGATCAAAGGGAAAATTATTTAAAGAGTATATTAACTAAACCAGAAATTGTGAACAATTGACAAGGGATCAAAGAAGATGCAGAGGGATATTGGCTGAGCATTATTACCTGCTTTGCAAATAAACCCCCTTAGTGAACGTGCTAGGCACGGGTATAGATAAATGGATGCGAATGAGAGGAACAAGAATTGTAGACTTTCCATAGAGTGGATACATTTCTTTAGAGAAATCATTAGGTTATGATCGGACATAAAAAAGGACTTTGGAGAAGTGTCAAGCCTAGGCAAACCGGATCGCTCAACCTACATGGCTCGGATTACCACTTAGCGACCTAAGCCCTTTTGTAGACATCCCAGTTTAACCCGTGACTCCCCATTCTTTTTAACTGCATTAAGTAGTCTAGATCTTGATTATTTAATTCACCTCACTTTTTGTTGGGGGGCACACTGTGTGTTTTGTATGTTATTGATGCTCTGTTACTAATAAAGTTCTTATTTTCTATTACCGTAGCCATACCCACTCACCCTGTCACATTCATACACTTGGCCATATAACCTATCACCTATCTTCACCAATCTTGCACTTATTGCCATCCAGCCACCACCTAGTCACATTGATTAGTCACGCCCCAAACTACTCACATTAATCTTTAATACACTTACACTCCCAAGATTCATATATATCACAGGTGGAGGCACATTGAGGAAACTCATATTGGAGCAGCAGATAGTAAATCTGGCCCGATGTGTGCCCAAACTCTCTCTTCAACATGTACATACAAAACACACACACATCCTCCCTTCATAGCCAATACCAACACAACACAAACTTCCTCCACAGACACACAAGA